ATAATTATTTTATAGTATTAGTATTATAATTATTATTTTATTATTATCTTAAAATATAAAATATAATACTTACTTAAAGATAAATTATTAATTATAAAATAATGATTTTATATATATATATATTAATAAAAATTAAATATAACTTACTTCCTAATAAAATTTATTTTTTTAAATAAAAATTTAGTTAACTTTAAATTACAATAATAAGTGTAATTAAATACTGATAATCAATAAAATAACTTACTATCTATTATATTATTAATTTGTTTTTTTAAATAAAAAATTTAGTTGACTTTAAATTATAGTAACAAGTGTAATTAAATACTAATAATCAATAAAAATAACTTACAATCTAAATAAAATTTATTTTTTTAATAAAAATTTAGTTGACTTAAATTGTAATAAACTAATAATTAATATTAATAATTTACTAACTAAATTATTAATATTTTATTTTTATAAAATTTTATTAATTATTATTAATATAAATAATTTACCAACTAAAAAATCATTAATTTACATTAAAAATTTTATATAATAAATTAAGTTTAAATTATAACGTAAAAAATAAATAACTTATTCCCTATATTATTGATTATTAAATATTTTTTAAATATAAATTAATTTAAAATATAATAAAGTTAAATGGTTTACAATCTAAGTATTATTATTATTAAATTTTTTTATAAGTATTAAATAATTATATAAATAAATAATAGATAATAAATTTATCACCATTTAAATCTTCTAATGTAGGAGTATCTGAATCTGATTCTATTATAATATTTACTTTTGAGAAAATTTTGAAATTAATATTAGTTATATTACCTTTATCAATTAAAACTGTTTCTATTTTTGAATTTCAAATAAATAATTAACAGTATATATACCTTCTAATGAGGAAGCTTTTTTAACATCTGAAACTGGCTCTAACATAAATTCATGAAAAAAAAAGATTAGAATATTATCAAACCGTCAAATTAACTAATTTTAGTCATACGAAGCTTCATACCTTTTCTTCTTTTTTCTTGTTTGATGAAAATATTTTTTAATTTCTTTATTATACTATTACTTTTATAATTATTATTAAACATTTTTATTATTTATAAATAAGTTTTTTTTTAAAAAAAAAAATTATTTTAATCAAATTACTAATATAACAAAAATAGATTGTAATAGTAATACGTATTGTCGAGGTATGTAGATCTTACCGTTTGTATGTATGTGATGTGAGACACAGCACTAGAAATAATTATAGTATTAAAAGAGGATCTGTGTTATGGTAAAAAAATTTGTTTATATACAATTTGTGTAACTCTTATATACTTTATTTTTACCAAATACTAACACTAACACCACTAACGGACACTAACACTGACACTAACACTAAGAGATTTTCCAATTTAGTTATAAACCTCCACATTATAATGAATGTTCATATCATCATCGCAGTCCTCTCTCACACTGGTAAGTGTTTCTTAATGGTTTACCTCTCAAACAAGAAATTTGTAGAAACGAAATATTGAATTTTGGGTTTTAATTTTTTTTTCGTGTTAAAGTAGGACTCTCCCAACAAGACGTTACGTAAGTTACAGTATTTCTAGTTAAGTATCAGTTGGTTAGAAAATATCTCTAACAAAGCTTTATATCCCATCAAACATCGAGGTAAGTATTGATAAATGCTAAAACTCACTGGATAGAATTGAAAGACAAACTGTTTAAGAAATCAAACTGGAAAATTTAGAATTATTATATGAAGAGTCTACAGAATTCCTGCAATTAATAATAAGTCTTAGTTCATTTTGCATTCACTACCAGACATTTCGAACTTTGACAATAACGGCTATGAAGGATACCTCCATAAAGAAATGCCTTTTGCGCTATTTGACAAGGTTATGAAAAATCCTTGGCTCTCCTTAATGGTCACGTCCGGGTAAGAATAGGTATTATTGCAATCCAAGATGGCTTAAATGAAAATATAGGCAAAGGCAAGTGAAAGGCTTCTATTTTTTCATTTTTTTTTGGTTCTTGATCTGGAATAACCCATTCTTAATATGAGCTACTTTGTATTACATATTGAATCTACTTCTCATTGAATGTCGGAAATGGTTCCAAAAACTTTGGATCTCGGGACATGGAAATTGCTATCTCTGATTAAGGCAATACTTAACTGCCAACAATCCTGAAAAAAAACACATTTACAGCACTTAGCTTCACTCGTGTTATGCTTCTTGGCCGATTATTCATTTTAATCAACCTTTTAAAGTCCCATAGTCATGTTACAATAGCAATTTTATACCAAAGTAATGGCTTCTAATTCAACACTTATCAAGGAAAATCGATAAAGAAGACTTCTGGTTTCTATTTCACGTGTTTTCGTGGATTAAATCTATAAGATCAGGATGAACTTGTCATTACATTTATCAAGAAATTCAAAATTTTGAGCCCTCAGCAAGAAAAGTTACCAATTGCAATTGATGAATCACAGATGGCCATCAGGATGTATGATAAACCTTTTTTCTACGATGGACCACTACAACCATTCTTTCTATCTTACTTCGGACAGTCCTCATTCTTAGTGCAGGGAAGTTATGTCTTGTACTATCAGGAACAAGTATGAGTTTTGACGATATCAAGATTCAGCTGCCTCTGCTATTGCTAAATCTGATGGTGCTACATCCAAGAATTATTTTCAGTATATACATGATGGGATTTACAAATGTAGTGAGATGAGCAAGTTTATTTAGCATTTTTACCACTAGACGATGAGCTAATAAAAAGCATCAATATTTTTCGGGATCGCTGACGATTTGTAATCCAGTTTCTGGAACATGCTCTATCAGATACATCTTCAATGTTCCAGAGTAATGTGAATGTAATTGTGGAAAATTGGCAATGTAAAGCAAAGGATTTTATAATTACTACCTTTATTGAATCATTTTTCCTTATTTACGTAAGAAGAAAGAAGCATAAAACAAAGTGCGATTGTCGTAGATGAGAAATTTTTGCCTGATCTGGTACAAAATATTCTTGGAAAACTTGGCTTCGATGAAAATGATGTAGCATCATGGAGTGAACCCATAGAAGTTCCTTTTGGGGTTTCTTCAACTTTCTATATAGCCCGCTTTTCCATTTTTGACAGTTTACTGTTTTAGCATATTAATCTGTACCCAGAACTTCAAGATATTTACATATACGGCAGAAACATTCCAAAATTTGTACAAAATAAAATTCAATCAGTGAATCCTGAGAAAATATTGGGTGGAAATGTTCGAAACACCATCCCAGCAAATATATTTACATACAAGTATAAATTTAGATCTAATAACAGATTTCTACGTGATTAGCCAGATAAAAGACAAATTTGGTGATAGAAAACGATTTCTCTACTGTGGAATTAATTCTCACAATATTAACGCAATTCTTATATATGAGTTAATATTTCGGTCTTCCTTAAGAAATGAATTTGGTCTAGGTTTATATACTACTCTAAATCTCGATTATGCCATTTCATATACTGGAAGGAATGGTACTCTTTTAATCTTTGATTGATCTAATTTCGATAGAAATCTTACATTCAAGTATTTAAAAGATCTAGAAGAATGGAAAGGGTCACATTTATTCAGAAGATGATATAAGCAAATACAACCTCATCATGAAGATATTCTTGAAGGTTTGATTTCTTCCAACAAAGATCTTATCAGAGAGTGTCATGATCCAATTTTTTCGGAGGTTGAACAAGTTGTTGGCAGGACAGAATTAGCTGTTAAGGCTTTTGAGATCGTTTATTTGCCATCATATATTTCTTTTAAAATAATGAAGGATATAAGCAACACATAAATTTAATACAATTATGGTTGAAACATTAAATGATAGTACTATTCAGTAAAACAAACTGATGGCACTAGTTGATTAGGATGGGTTTTTATTTTGTTTTTTTTTTAATTTCATCATGTAACAACGAAGTATTTTTGCTTAGCAAAATTTCAACAAATTTTATTAAATATAGCGCTGGTATGCTATTTTACCATTTATCTGTACTGTATCTTAACGGTTTATATTAAAGGTTAAATATAAATTTGGAATAAATTTCAAAGTTGTCATTCACTTCACTCTTGTTCGTAAAAAAAAAAATAAAATTGCAGGGGTACCACTTCGATGAAGAACCAGTGAGTTGTTGCAAACCACTTTTTTTTTCTTCAATGATATGCCCAAGGCGTTGCTTTTACTTTATTCATGATCTATTTCGTTACTGTGCCTCACATTCTATTTTTATTCTTTTCTTTATATAACAATTATTAATTCTCAACAAAATTCTTTTGAATATAACAAATTATTAATGCAAGAAGTTTTTAAAAAGAACTAGATTCATAGTTATTAACACTTTTTTTTATTATTATGAAAACATGAAAATAAATATTTTATGAATCAACAAAGACTTATTTTATGTTTTATTTTATTACTAAATTATCAAATTTCATTTTTTCTTATCTTTAAGGTTAGTTTCGTTCCTCTTCCCGGCTGTGAACAGAGGCAAGAGTATTTTCCAAACGTAACGGTCTGGTTTATCACCGCGGCGAAGGTAAGCCGATTTGGTATTAATTTTTTTTTTTTAGTTTTTTTTTTTAATATTTTTATTTTTATTTTAGTTATATCGGTTTCCTCTCAGGCTAAGAACTGGAAGGAACTTTCGAACGGAACCGTCCGGTTCGTCACCACGGGGAAGGTAAGCTGACTAATTTTTTCGATTTTATTTTTTTTTCTTTTTCTTATTTTGGTAATTAATATTGATTACTAATTATAATTATTTTATTTGATTAACAAGGAAAAAACAAAGTATCTATTTCCATAAAAACTTCAGATAAATGATAATTTATATTATATATGTTTACTTTTCTTGTTTACCTATGTACTTGTCTACTGATCGCAAGTAAACAGGATAGTAAATATATTAAAGAAAGTGGAAACATGTTTAGGATTTCAAATCACGTTGCCAAAAAAAAAAATTAATAAGAAAAAATATTAAAAATCAAGACTGAATTGCTTGATACTCATTATATCTTCCACTGACTTTATATTTGCGCAGATTTTATTCAGACTAATAATATCTTTTAATGCACAGCCCATAAGGCCTAATATTGTTACTTTTTTTCGTAATCCATTCTATACCTCTATCCTCCAAATCTCTGGGGTTAACTCTATTTTGAAAAACGTACAAATACCTATCATTATTATGCAAGATTTGATTTCTTCTTTTTATAGCATATTGTTCAGCGTATTTAATATCGGTAGTTGAATATATTCCTTTTCCATATTTTGTAAACTGTTGCTTAGTCTGTTCCTGACCTCTAATAACAGTAATCTCAGCCCTAACCCTATTAACGCCATTATAGGAGACTGACCATTATTTTGAAACATCATTACTCATCCATTTACCTTTACCATACCTCCTAGTATTAAGTCTGATTCTATTCCATCCATAAGGTGGTGCATATACTCTTCCCCCATGTATATAATTTTTCCCCATTTTTATATCTGTTAAGTTCCAATTATTATAAGGGTCAAAAAATTGATTATTTAGAACAAAATAATTGATAACGCCTCTATCATTTTGGTTTATATTGTAAGATTTCAGAGTTCTATGATCTTCTAGTGGTTTACTTAAAAACTGAGACTTATCATATCAATGTTAAACATTGCTTGGATTTTCTTTTTCAACTCAAGGACGGTGATATCTGGGGATATAAATATTGAACGACTTTCCTCAGAAATTTGAAAAAAATTTGAATGGGTTGCGAAGATTGAATGGGTTGTGGATGTTGGACATTATCAACTTGACTGATCTTGCAAAAAAATCTGATTATACAAATGTACAATAAGGCAATGAAACAAATGAATATGATAGTAATGTAAATGTACTTGAGATAAGCGATGGAAAGAAAAAATAAAAAAACTTGTATGAAGGAACTGTTTGATGATGATGGTAAGTACGTGATCGTTCATCAATTTCATTATCTTCGTCAATTTTGCTATTGTCTTCATCAATCTCAATTTTACCAGAATATGTGAGGGCTGGATCATTTTTACTGGAACGTCTGTTGCTTTTTTCAATAAATTTTTTAAAAGAGATATTTTTATTAGTGACGGAATATTTATGAACTAGAACAGGGTCTAAAGTTCAGTTAGGGTCTAACCCTTCAGCTATGCATTCATCATATGTCTTTACTGGACAATTAATTATGGAAGAAATTATTGCGGTGACAAATGTTAAGTCGGGTAATTCAGACATAGCTATGCGATGGCTAAGGAAAAAATAAGACACATTAATTTATACCTTATAAATCTCATTGCTGGCGAAATCACGTCGATATTTTATATTTCACTAAGAAAAAATAATATTACCATAATGAGCATTTGAGCTTCTACGAGTTATTAACAAGTTATTAACAAATTGATTTTAAAATAGTAGCATTTTGTAGTTAATGATTGGTCTAAATATCAGGTGCAATTGGGCAAATTCGCATTATGCATGCAATAACTAGCCCTCTTACTTTTGCATTAATAAACGGAAGTATAATTATGAACGAAACTCAAAAAGACTAAGAGGAGGAGAGAGTGGAGAGTTTGTATGTCGTGGGAACTTGAAATATGCCATCTCCAAGATTGATAAAGGGTTTAATGATGTATGATAATGCAGTGTTCGGAAATGACCTGGTCATTTGTCATTTGAGCAATGAAATGACATATCATTTGTCATTTGTCATTTGAATCATTTGTCATTTCAAGTTATTTGCCGAATACTGTGATAATGTATGATACTTGTTCCATTTTATTCCATACATGTATGATTATCCGTCATCCGATTTTTGTAATAAGTTTTATTTGTTTGTTTTTAAAAGAACAAGTTTGCGATCACGTAAGCTCTGTGAGCTTGTACTACGTGAAAAGAAAAATATATCATTTAAGTTTTTTTTCTTTTACTTATTTAATTTATTTACAGAGAAATTCGTAATTAAATTTTGGCTTTCACCAAAAAAAGCTAATTATACTTAACAGAGGATAAAGATGAAATCATTCTATATTTCTGTTTTAGATTTTTAAATTAAACTGCTAAACCAAATATATTTCTTAAAAATTCGACTATGTATAAAACCTTCATACGAAAAAAAAAATTGTGGGTGATACTCATAGCTAATAGCGTAGCAAAGCAAGGCAAGGCGCCCTGCTTAATTACATACTGGAATTATATATATTTTTAAATATTGAGTCAAATTAATTATTAAGACAATACTAAATTTATTATTTAAAATTGTTATTATTAAATTATTATTTTATAATTTTAAAAACTTTTTTGTATTTTGTATTTCAAATCATACTTTTCTTGTTCAGATTTCAAATTCAACGAATAAAACTTTCATTTAATATTGTGCCAAAAAAAAAAATCAAATTATAATAATAATGACATAAATCCTAACAGGTCAGCCTAAGAACCAATCGATATAGATTGGCATTTTCCGAAACGTCTATTTCTGAAGTCATTAGAAAACTCTTGTTCGTTTTTTGGACATAATAAAGTATTGAGCAAGATATTAGGAACTTGTTCATTGTAATCCTGGACATATGTTTACTATAAATAGACTTTTGGAGTAAATATATCCTAGGAGTGAAGGATCCTCAGCCAAACTTAACAATTATACAGTGGGTTAGATTCATACTGATTTTAATGTGAAATTAACAAAGGTCAATTGATCGGAACCTCTAAAATTTTCTTGAAATCCAAAAGGTTGAATATACACACCCAAGTTTTAATCCGCCTAAAATTTCATAATTCAGTAATATAATCTTTCAAATAATATTTGAATACCATTCCTCAAATTACATCATTATCTGTTGATAATACGATATCTTGGTATTTCCGTTGAAATCGTGATCTGTGACTGCGCTACGGATAAGTCATGTGATCAGAATGATCAACATAGTTGACAAAGTTGACGAAGTTGATAGAGTTGTTAAAGTTGTCAACGTTGATCAATTTAACATATTTATCATA